CACCTCCTCTCTCCTCTTTCCTCCTATATTCTTCCCTCCTCTCTTCTCCCCCTCCCCGCCTTTCCTCACCCCTTTCTCCCCCCGCCCCGCATTTTCTCCCCTCTCCCCACGCCTTTCCTCACTCCTTTCTCCCCCTCTCCCGCCTTTCGTCACACCTTTCTCCCCACCCAACATTTTCTCCCCCTCCCCCCCCTCCTCCCCTCCCCGCCTTTCGTCACACCTTTCTCCCCCCCAACATTTTCTCCCCCCTCCCCCTCCCTCTCCCCCTCCCCGCTTACGTCACACCTTTCTCCCCACCCCAACATTTTCTCCCCCCTCCCTCTCCCCCTCCCCGCCTTTCCTCACCCCTTTCTCCCCCCCCGCCTTTCCTCACCCCTTTCTCCCCCCTCCCCTCCCTCTCCCCCTCCCCGCCTTTCCTCACCCCTTTCTCCCCTCGAGTCGTATTGACACAGCCTTATGTGGGCATCTCCTCGCCTCCTTGAGTGCCGGTCAGTTTTGCTAAACTTCTGGGGTGATCGCATTCATTTTTTTATATTGTTTAGTGGATTTTTTGTTGGTTACGGTGTTGTTGTTGTTATTATTTTTATTATTGTTGTTATTATTTGTTATTATTATTATTATGATTATTATTATCATTATTTATTATCCATTATTATTACATCATTATCATTATTATCATCATCATCATCATCATCATTCATTCATCATCATCATCTATCCATCATCATCATTCATGTCATTATGATGATTATTGTTTTTTGTTGTTGCATTCATGTCATTATCTTGATTTTTGTTATTGTTGCAGAATAATTATATGCTATTTTTCTGTTATTCATGAGAGAGAAGAGAGAGAGAGAGAGAGGAGAGAGAGAGAAGAGAGGAGGAGAGAGAGAGAGAGAGAGAGAGAGAGAGAGAGAGAGAAGAGAAGGAAAGAAGAAAGAGAGAGAGAGAGAGAGGGGGGGGGGGTTATGTGTGTGTGTGTGTGTGTGCACGCGCGCGTGCAAATGAGCGACCGTATGCGTCTGTATGTGTACGCGTGCGCGGGCATGTACTCCGTCCCCAAACATGTGAACCGCGAAAGCTCAGCGTCCATGGAAGTTGCCTCGAATCTCTGCGTCATTGTTTGCTTTTGAAACCCAGTTAAACAGACTTTTTTAAACTTTGACACGTTTGTTTGAGACAGAAGAGAGAGAGAGAGAGTGGAGGGAGAGGGAAGGATGAGAAGGGAGAGAGGAGGAGTGGGAGGGAGGAGGGAGGAGGAGGGAGAGGGAGAGAGGAGGGAGGGGAGGGAGGAGGAGGAGAGAGAGGAGAGAGAGGGAGAGAGAGAGAGAGGGAGAGAGAGAGAGAGAGAGAGACAGAACAGACAGACAGACAGACAGACAGACAGACAGACAGACAGACAGACAGACAGACAGACAAACAGACAGACAGAGAGTGACAGGCGCTTGCTCGACGGGCCAGGACACCCTTCTGGTGTTTAAGCTGTCGACAGGCAAACACCCACTAGAAGAGATGGATTGAGCACACATAGAACGCGCGGGTGAATGAAAGGCCTATAGTAAACAGAAGCCTTTCACACACGAGGGCGAGAGTGAGGGACGTTCAGAATGAGTCGATCGTGAGGAAGAAGTGTGAGTCGTGTGAGTCCACCTCATCCTGATCTTCATTCTCGTCTGAGTCGTCTGTTTTTTTTTTTTTTTTTTTTTTTTTTTTCGTCATACTCATCTTCCTCCTTTTCTGCATCTTATCCTCGTGATTTCCTCCTCCTTCTTTTAATCATCATCAGTATCATTATTATTTTCGTTGTCTTCGTCCTCGTTTTCCTCCTCCTCCGCCACCACTTCCACCTCCTCTTCCACCTTCATCTCCTTCTCCCCTTCCACCTCCTCCACTACCACTACCACCACTACCTCTTCCACCACCACATCCACCTCCGCTACCACACACTACCTCCTCCACGTATCTTCTCTAACTCCACCTCCACCTACCTCCACCCCCTCCTCCTCTCCCTTCCATCCCCCATCCTCATCCTCTCCCTGCCCCCTCCTCCCCCACCCCATCCTCATCCTCCCCCTCATCCCCACCCTCCTCATCCTCCCCCATCCCCCCCTCACCTCACCACCCCCATCCTCATCCTCCCCCCTCACCCCCTTCCTCATCCTCATCCTCCCTCCTCACCCCCCCATCCTCATCCTCATCCTCATCCCTGGACCCCCTTCTCCCCCCCCCCCTCTCACCCTCCCCCCCTCCTCACCCCCCTCCTCCCCCTCATCCTCCCCCCCCATCCATCCTCATCCTCATCCCTGACGCTCAACCTGCCATTGAATCCCAGGTCATGCATTGTCCGCTTTCGCCTCGTGTATGCCGAGGGATTTTGATTACGTCGGCGAGGCTGTTGGTCGTAACTAGTAATTCGGACGAGGTCTCCTGGGGGTAGGGGGGGGGGGGGTGGAGTTTGGGACGTGTGTGTGTGGGGTGGGGGGAGAGGGGTGGGTATGTG